TAGTCCGGCATAATTTGCCTGCATCTGCTGATCTGCAACTCCGTACGGAGACCGCATTCTCGCAAGAAAGACCAAGTATCTTACACAATCACCGCGTGAAAATAATACATTCGACTAGCTCATATTCCCATCTGTTATACTTATTGTTTACTACTCAGCTACTAATACACTTATAGGTTATAAGAATACTCGTTGATTAATGAGCAGATAGCTCTTCTATTAGATAGGAAACGTCCCGTAAACCTCAAGATAGAATTAGATACTGCAATAGGTCAAAAGTTAGTCTGAAAACGGCAAATGGCAGCATGCGGCCCAAAGGCATAGTAGAATTTGAGCTATTACATAATAACATTTCGTTGACCGATAAGATGACACAGCCTGATGGATAGAGTTTAGAGGGTGGAAACCAAGACAAGCTCTGCTGTGCTCAGGGCCTAAAACATGTACTTACTCGGAATAATTTTAACCCAGATTCACACTCCTTGTTGAGACCAAGGGGATCTGAGCCCCAGCGTTGGCTTTAATCAACTTCACCTCTGACAAATGGTAGCGTCAGTGTTAGTACCAGTACTACTAACAAGCAGCTACATTGTTAGCTAGTAGTAGTAGTAGTAGTAGTAGTATTAGTAGTAGTAAAAGTAGGAGTAGCCGTATCCGTCTCGGCTTCCTTGACCCTGTCTTGACATCTACAGAAGTTGAGTGAGGGTAAATAGTGCAGTAGTACCCACGCAAAGTCTACTGTCACTTAAGCCTAAGTTAGGCGGTGTTTCTGGCTTGCATTGGAGTAAGCGGCCAACGTCGGGTCCCGTTTGCTCTTCTTGACCCTGGGCGAAGGTGAAGAGTGTGGTTGGCGCCAACTACGTCCGCTATCACTATAATCTACCCCCTAGGATTGTCATCGTCTGTAGCAACCTGTTGGTGCACTTGGTGGACTTCATCGAAATCGATGATCGAACGCACACACACATGGAACAGAAGTCAGCCTCGAGGTCCACCGGCGAGTCTGCTGCGCCAACAACCATGCACGATTGTGGCTCCTCGCCTGTTTTGCCTCTTCTCCCAACTCCCCCACCTGTCTGCACCTCAGGGAGGATGCGTCATGTTCGTTCTCTCGTAGCCGTTTAGTCACTCTGGTTTTTGCGAAATGACTGAATGCATCTGCGTGGTTGTCTGCCGAACTTCCTGCCTGCTTGGCGGGTGGAACTACCTTGGGACTCTTCAATATTCA